ATTATCACTCACTTCGCAACTTTTTTTTCATAAAGAGATAAAGATTATACAAATGCTTGTCACTAATCAATTCCATGTTCCTTCATTTCTCCATCTCTTTTTCAGATTTCTCTTACGTGTTTCTTTAAACTTTATTAACTTTTTAATAAAATATTAGTTTGTATACCTGGAAGGGATCTTCAACCACAATCGACCTTTTATTACCTTGATACCATTAGGAACTACTGAAATGCCCCTTTCTTGAATTTTTCAGAAATGTCTTCAAGTGAGAACTACAAACAACATATAATATTTTTAAAAGGTGCCTTTTAGAGTATGAATAAAAGAGTTAGTTGCCACATCACATAAGAGAAAGCAGCTTAAGAGAATTGAAAAAGGAGTGCTAAAGCTTGACATATTGTAAATACCTAAAATTGCTAATCTTGACCTCTACAATACCCTCCTTCAGCCATAACTCCTATTCTTTAAATCACCTTACTCTCTTACTCTTCTCACCTTTGATTCCCTTTTGTCCTTCAATCCTTCCAATTAATAATATAAAAATTAATATACTAGTTCACAAAATATTTTACATTATTTTATTTAATCCTCTTAGCAATCTGTGGTATTATCCCCATTTTAGAGATGAGAACCAGCAGAATTTAGAGATTCGCCCAAGATTACATAGCTAAGACGTCTCGTATCAAGAAAAATGGAGACAGCAGATGCTTTATTCTGATCTTATGTTAATCATATAAATAATAAAAAGTATATGTACTTTTAAAAGAAGCAGTTTTAGCCATCTTAAATACAGGAAGGTAAACTTTTAGAGGACCCAAAACTGTGAGAAAATTGTGTTTCATATAATGAAGTGGTGAAAGCGAGGAGCAAGAGTCCAGATATAACCAAGAGGCCTAGTGCAAGGATCCAGGCATATACACCATCTTTTAGGTTAGGCATGAGAAAAAATGATGCCTGTCTTCAGGGAGCAGAGCTCCTGGTAATAATAGAACAATGTCTCTGGTAGCTGGTAAAGTTAGGAATGGGGAGCATCCATGCTCAGAAAACAAACTGCTGAATCCTCATCTGGCAGAATATAATGCCTGTTCCTTATCTTATCAATGGCTCCAACCAAACCTTAGCAGATGTTTCTATATTTCGCACAATAAGTGCTGTATAAGCAGAGACCATAGTCTTTCAGGTGATCTCAGCTATAGTGAGGAATGCAATTAAGGATGACCAAATGTTAGAAGAGTATCAACTCCATGAAAGACTACAAACTCAGTTAAGGTTAGGGAAGGGCAGATAATTCTATGAGAATAACTGACATTACCTATTTTTGTTTCAGAAAGGGCTAATTACTCACTAAAATGTGTGCCTTCCCCTTCCATAGTATAAAGGTGTTACCAGGAAGCAGCTGCCTAGCTAGGGAGTCATTTCTGAGCATCCCCTCTATCAAGGTAGAACAATGTGATTAGTTCTCATCATTAGAATGTAAACTGAAATATCACTTCTGAGAGAAGTTAACAAGCAGTGTATATTCTTTATTCTCTCTATTCCTAACTGCAAACTGGATGCAGATGATTCTAAAGGTCTAGCAAACGCAAAATCACAAGATGGAAGGAGCCTGGGTCCATGAATCACCAGTTGAATAAAAGTCATGCTCTGACCAAGTCTTATATTATCACAAGACTGCTGAAAGAAAAAAACATTTATCAAAAGTCTTTGAAATTCTAAGATTTATTTTATCAGTGGGAGTTACCCAGATCAAGAGAAATTGGTACCTTGAAGTGGGGTGTGGCTGTGACAAAAATCTCAAACATATGGCATTAAATTAGTGAAAAGGAAGCAGGCATCAGGGAAATAACTACCAGAGACTGATAAGATGGAACAGTAGTAAAAAACATTTTGTAAATATGACCATAAATAATTTGGAAAGCAGGCCAAATACTTATGTAGCTCTATAGCAGTGGTTCTCAACTGGGGATGATTTTGCCCCCAGAGAACATTTGGCAATGACTGAAGACAATAAAACATGAACATTTTAGTTATTTTTCAAGACCAACTCAATTGTTATAACTCTACTCCTCATATCTGATTATACTACACTCATATCAGAGAGTCTTTTATTTGCACCCTCTTAGTATGTAACAATTCATTTTTTTTTACATTTGTCTCCTCTTCTCCATGATAAATTTCTTGAATGCAGATTGCCTTATCCATGTATCTCATATATTTTCTAGAACGTCTTATAAAGTATACAATTAGTGTTATAGAGTACACATTTGTTGAATGAATGTATACTACTATGCAAAGCATTATTCCATGGTCCTTGATCTTATAGTCCAATATTAAAAACACACATCACAAAAATCACTTTATAATATAACAAGTCTTATAGAACCTGAGTTCTTCCAAACACTAGTTTTCACATTTGAATACCCTTTGGGTATTCTTTCACTCCCAACTTCTAATTGCATGAGGCTAGTTACTGTGTAAAGTTGCCATCTGTCTTAAAGAGGGAAAACAAATGAGAGAACATTTCTAAGTAATGTAGTTGGTTTAAAGAGTTTGAATAATGGTCTTTTAAGGTTAGGAATTAGAACATAACAAACTAAATTTTAGTACTTGAGTAGCAACAAGGGTACAAAAAGCAGAAACCCCTATGGCTATCCATAAGAAGGAATGGTCAGAGGTAAAGGCATGTATACACATGTATACACATCAGGAAAGGCTAACTACGAAAAAGTAGACATAGATAAGAAAATAGATAATTACCTATTTTTCTTTCAGACCAAGGTAGATAAACTTAATTTGGTATTGTTAAAAAATCCTTTGAGTCTACGGTCATGCTGCCCTGAACACTCCGGATCCTGTCTGATCTCAGAAGCTAAGCAGGGTCGGGCCTGGTTAGTACTTGGATGGGAGACCACCTAGGAAGACCAGGTGCTGTAGGCGTGTTAAAAAAAAAAAAAAAAAAAAAAAAAAAAAAAAAAAAAAAAAATTAGGCCTCTTTACCCAAAAAAAACAGAAAAAATCATTTGAGCTCCTTAGTTCATCTAGGTGGCTCTGACATTAGGATATTAATAAAGAGATTACTACAGGTGGGAAGTAAAGCAACAATTTTAATTTCCCTTCCAAACTTAAACCCGGCTTCTCAATTGAAGATACACATCTGGACTTCTGAAGACAGAGTGACTTGGAGATAGATTTGAGATCATAAGCATGCAGATAATAGAAATGGAGGTAGTCACTCAGGAGCAGTAAAAACTAGGAACAAAACAAACAAACAAACAAAAAACCCTTAAAATGTAGAAGATATAGAAGCCAGCAAAGAAATAAATAAGGAAAATAAATCATGATGGTTTCCTTACATAGCCCATATAACATTATGTTAGCTGTTCTATACGACCTTGCAATTAACAAATGTTTTTTTCCCAAATGTTATTTTTCTACGTTGATTTCAAGATCTCAAAGGACAAGAATCACTCTTATCCTTCTTTTACATTTTCCTAAGCCTGCCATCCCCAGTACAGTCTTACACACACAATAAAACTCAATGAATTCTTCACTGAATTTAAATCTGGCAAAGAATTTCACTTCCTTCACCCATCCATCCCCTCCTTTCTAAAAGCCCAAATCTGTCATAAAAAGCAGGTCTCTAATTTCCTGCATCGACCCCTTCAGGTAAAACTACTTTCACAGAATTCTTGGCTACTAGGAGTGTGAGTTTAAAGAAACATTATAATGTACAGTTGTTTTCTGAGAGATGTTGTATCAAAGCTCATCGATGAGGACACCTGGCAAGACTGGTTAGAGAACATGAGCTTATGGCTAATTTCTTAGTGAAGAAATAAAAAGCCAAAAAAGCCTCTGCTGGGGCAGTGAAGGAAATGAGAATTGGAAACTAAGAATTTATGATTTGGGGACCCAAAGAGCAGCTGGCATCATTCTCTAAGGGGTTCCAACTACTGAGCAAACATATTTAACTTGGCATTGACTTGTTACTATTCCATAGGTGAGAAAGGAAAAAAAAAAAAGAGAGAGAGAGAGAGAGATTACAGGGGCCATCTATGAATCAAGCAACACATACCAGCAAGCCAGAGACTAGGATGCTGAGATGCACATCATTAAAAACACTTCACTGTAAGCCACATTTCTCTTTTCTTCTCTTAACTATTTGAACCTAACCATCATTTTCTTCCCCGTATCATCTCATTTGGGGGCTTAATTTTTTCCCCGCTTTGATCTGTATGGATCTGAGTGTATACATGCTCATGTGCTTTTGGTAAGAGTAGTTTCCAATACCTCTGGTCTAGCAAGACTTTCATGTTAGTACTATATTGTGCCAACTCTTTGAGATTACCTCAGGAACTAAATAGAAATGTTTGCATGAACTTCTTCCCAATGGTGAGTTTTAAATTGTGGAAGTAAGAAAGGATCCTCACTGAGCATGGCTAACCAGAAAGAAGAACAGATGATCCAAGTTTCAAATACTATAAGTTTGTGGATAAACAGTGAAACAGACACTACAGAGTAGTGAAAGGAAGACTAACCTCATAAAAGGGTAAAGGAAAGGGCAATTGTTGCCACAAGTACACCAGAAAATAAGTAAGTTCAGATAAATGTGGCAGGTGGTAGAGGGGTATGGCAAGAAATAAATGTTGAAGAATAGAAAAGGTTAAGAGGATAGCCTAGGTTAAATAATATAAAAGTAGGCTTTGGCATCAAATACCCAAGTTTAAATTCTTACCTATAGCTAAGTGGTGGTCTTCAGCAATTATGAGTGTGAGCTGAGCATAAGTATTTCCACCTAATTCACAAATTGAGGCTTATATAAGTACATTTCTTAGAACATAACACAGTATTCACTAATTGGCAGCTTTTATAATTATGCTTAAGGATAGAAGGGTCAAAATAGAACTGTTAGTTTACCACTTGGCAGCTACAGAAAAGAGCAAATAGCTATAAATCAAAGAAAGTATAGTCTCTCATCGTCTAGAGAAAAGAGTCACAAGATCCACACTCAAGGCCACAAAACAGTGAACCTTTTTTTTTTTACTAGATATTAAAGTTTAAAAACACACAGCTTAACAGTAATGTTAATATTACCACTAGGTGGCAATAATACAGCTGAATTTCACTGATAACGTTAATTTGAAAACAGCAAATCCAGACCAAAATTCCAAGCTTTTTAGTACATACTTTCATTTTAGGAAAATGAAAAATCCCTTTACATACAATTAATTTATTGCAGAAAGTGTAATTATCTGATTCAATATCTATGTTAACTTCTGATGCTTTTTTTCCTCTGTGTACTAAGGCAATTCATGCAACACATACTACTTTTAAAGTTCTCATCACAGATATGTCTCTAAAAAAATCTAGACATATATCATAAAGATAACAGAAACTATGGAAAGCTAAAAATCTTTTTGAAGTTTTAGAATTCTAAGAAAGGCACTATAAAATACAAAGTATTTCAATTACAACATTAAATCTTTAAGAATGAACGACAGAGAACAATTCTACTTTATTTTTTAAATTTAGGGCCAAAACATTAAATAATATGGAGACACTTTGCTTTTAAATTACAAATTAAATATTCACATAAGTAAAGTCTTTTCAGGTTTTAAATAAACACACTAAAGTTTTACTAAGCAAATTTATCAAAATTCTGACAAAGTCTAGAATAATGTTTTTACAAGTGCCAAAATAACAAATGATGAAATTCCTTAGAATCTGGCACTTTCCATAATTATTTCTGCTTTCTTCATAAAGCAGGTCGTAAGCTATGGCTTATTAAAAACATTAAAAACTTCTTTATGAAATAAAAGGGGTAGGTATGACTTTTTTAAATTATAGACAATGTCAAGTACACAGTAAAAAAATAACTTTCAAATTCCAAAGATGTTCCCCCATATATAAGGTGGGAGCTCATATAACCACATGTAACATTACAAAACCTATACTACAATTAGATGAATAAATAATAAACTATACTGTTACCCAATTCACAATAAAGACCCAATTAAAAGCCTATTTATTCCCTTTGTATAAATAACGCACAGTTCCCGAATTTTCAACTCAGTTTTCTACAAATGAATAGATCAGAATATCTTTTATATATAAGCTTTCCAATAGTTTTCTCGTTAATTTAGCAATCACTTTCTATATTGTATTTACCTCATTTCCAGAAAAATCTCTCCCTATTGCCACCCAAATATAACAGTATTAATTCTAAGTTATTTTTGTAATCCATAGATCAGTTTCCTCATTATAGAACTTCATTTTGAATTATTATAGATCCTGAAATTCCTCATTGTGTCAGCGTATACAGATACTCAAAACAGATAACTGTTTAATATGGTTAACACAAGATTACTGTGGCAGCCCTCACAAATCAAACAAAAGATTTCAGGAAAGTGCTCAATCTGTTCACTACTGTAACTTTTGCTAGAAAATTTAGAGAATGCCACTGTTATGGAAGGGATAATTGTAGATCTACAAAAGTGAATACATGTGTACATGTAATTTATATCTATACAGAACCAGCTTTAAATTATCTGTACAAATAAAAGGACAACAGAAAGAGATGATACAACAAAACACATAACCGCAAACCACTTCGGATACATTTTTGTATCTGTATTTTATAGGACTGTGAGAATTCAGAACGCAAATAAAATTAAGCCATTATTGCAAAGAGGTTGAGTTACAAACACAATCACCAAACCAATAACAATAAAATGCCGTTATTGACTTGAGTTGGTCATCTTCTGTTTATTTCTGATGGTGGCTCGAAGTTTACGTATCACCAATCTATCAGGCAGAATCATATCACCTTGCTGTTCTAGGTAATCCAATAAGTTTTCAGTCCATTGGAGAGCAGCAGCATGATTGATATGTTTCTCTGGAATCAGTTCTATGTCCTCCTCCTCATTTTCACTGGATTCGTCTGTCTGGCCTTGTGCTCTTCTGATGATTTCGCTATCAGTTAACACCTCATAACCCGGTTCAGTACTGTCCACTTCGAGCCATTTTTCAATGTTCTCAGTAGTCACATTTTCCAATCCTTTAGTGTGTTGTAAAATGGTGGCCACGGTAGCCAGCGAAATATCTTCTTCATCAAAGTCCAAGCCTTCTTTCTCCTCTATGGTAGGGATAATCTTCTTCCATGCTCTGCTAATAGTAACTGGCTTTACTAAATTCCATGCCATTGCTACTTCATAAAGTGCATCTAGCAGAGTTAGCTTTTTCCAGAATGATTTCAAGTCATTACCTTCTTCCAAGTTGTTCTGGAGAAGACCTGCACGATAGTTTCTTTTCATTGTGGCTATGACTCCCTGATCTGAGGGCTGAATCAATGAAGCCACATTAGGTGGTAAATATTTAGCAAATATTTGGCCATCATCTGATCTCAGTACGTTTTCATTTGGATGTGTTGGTGAATTATCCAACAAGAGCACAGCCTTTTCCTGCAGTCCTTTGGATCTTAAGTACTCTCGAACTTGTGGCACAAATATCTTATCAAACCACTGTCGGAAAATGGAAAGATCCATCCATGCACCTTTCTGGCTGAAATAAGAGACTGGCAGGTTTGAAGTGTCAATCGACTTGAAAGAGCGAGGTTTCTTTGCTTTCCCCACAACACAAAGTTTAAGTTTGTGTAAACCTGTTGCATTGGCACAACACATGATAGTGACTCTTTCTTCAACTGACTTGTGGCCAGAGACAGTGTATTTACCTTTGATTACTGAAGTCCTGGATGGCAGACATTTCCAAAAGAGTCCAGTTTCATCTGCATTGTAGATTTGTTCAGGTTGTAGATTCTCTCGTTCAATAAAGTCTCGAAAGTTGTTACAAAAATCTTCCACAGCGGTCTCATCTCCATTTAATCTTTCATTTCTAATGTTAATTTCTCTAATGCTGTGCCGCTGCTTAAAACGAGTTAACCAGCCGGCAGAAGGGTTAAAATCACCATCCATTCCCAACGCATAGAAGAAGAACTCTGCCCTTTTTGCACAAATGGGTCCGGACACGGGATTCCCTTTTGCTCTTTGCTGGTTGAACCATTCCAACATTGCTCTGTCCAGTTCCTCATACATGGACGGCTTCATAGATTTTCTCTTGGCCAGAAGGCTTGTGGAATCAGAACTGCTTGCATAAGTTATAATCTTTTCCTTATTTTTTCTTATATCCCGAACTGTTGTCTCACCAATTCCATAAATCACTGCCAGTTGTTTGGAAGAACCTCCGTCTTCAAGTTTCTTTATAATATCCAGCTTATCTTTAATAGTCAACACCACTCGCTTGCGTTTCCCGGACATGGTGAGGCTCTGGGACTCTCCTCACACTCACACTGACGCAGTCCACAAAATTCTTCTCTCGCACAGACTCACTTTAACGGTGTTACACACTCGGTCTTTCAACCTTACCAGGAACCTAGTGGCCCTGACCCCGTCCCCGGCTGGGCTTGGCTGGCAAAGCGACTGCAGAAGAAGGTGAGAAGGAAGGAAGTTTGAGGGAAGGGCCTTTAACTTAGATGTGCAGTAGAGGAGGCCCCAAGTCACCGCGGTTAATCCGGATTACAAACATTTTATTCCCCGGTGGCCGCGGTAAAGACTATAACCCCATCATAATCACAAACCTCTTTTGCGCCTAGGTCCGGGGTGAACGCCGGCCACTAACCCTTGCCACACCCCAAAGTTACGGCAGAGAGCGGAAGAGCCAGGGAGTGCAGACTGGCCCCCTTCCCCAGGGGGAAGGTGGTTTAAGTCCGTCCCCAGCAGCCAGCCCGTTCCACCGCAAGCCCCACTCCCCGGCGCTGGGCTGGGCCTCGAGAGTCCCCACAGCCCCTCACAGCCCGCCGGGCCCCTCTCCCCACCTCAGTTGGAGCCGGGACCCTGCACCGCTCCCTGACTAACACGCCGCGACCGCTCCGCCCCTGCACACGCTCCCGGAAGACACCCCCTCCAGCCGCCCGGCTCCGCCCCTCGCCCCACCCAGAGGCGGGACTTCCCCCGATCCCCGGAACAAGGAGGAGCGTCGCTGGTCTAGAGTGGGTCCCCGGGGCGGAGGAGGAGGCGGAGGCAGAGGCGGAGGCAGAGGCGGAGGAGCTTCCAAAGGTGAGGGGGGAGGGGCGGGGCGGGGCGGTATAGCTCGGGGCGGGGACTCGCTCCGGCTCCGGCTGCTAATGGTTTACGAGAGGGGCGGGGGAAGCCGCGCCTCCCGGCGGCTCCGAGAAAAATTCCCGCGGTTGCCTTCGGCGCGGGCGGAACCGCCCTGGGCTCGTTCTCCCCTGGCGGGCCGCCTGGGCTGCGCTGCAGTGGGCGGGATGCAAGTTCCTTCCGCGACGGGGAAGTGGGCGGGGCTGACGCGGGCAGCTTGAGTGGTGATTTCGCGCGTTTCTGGCCTTTCGGGACCCATATTTGTTTTCTGAGTGCCGAGCTCCTCTGGGGTCCAAGGGTTTGTGTCGTCCAGCGCACGTCATCTCGAAGGGTTGTCTAAGGGTCCCGTTTCCTAGCTACGCAGCTCCTCCCCACTCCTGGAGGCAGAGTAGCAGACCCGCGGGCGTGCTGCGCCGGTTACCTGCGTCCCGCCAGAAAGCCAGGTTTGTAATCATGAAAATGACTCTGATGTTTACTCCCGAGAGCATCTGTTCCTTCCTCTGCCACTCATCCCTGCTGGATTTAGCGAACCACCTTCAATGTTACAGATTTTAATGAATACTTATAAGTCCGGGATGCCAAACTGGCAGGATCCACTCTGCGAAATTGTGGAGTATTGGACCATAATAATTAGTGGGGGAAAATGGCTTTCCTCTTTTTATATGTTTCTTCATATTTTCCTATTTCTGTCGTGTTGTGCTGCCCTGTTTCCCGCCAGTGGAAGAACTATGATAAATTTATTCACAGCAATGTGATAAGAACATAACTGTAGCCCTTAAATCACGTATTATACTGCCTCGGTTTGATGTCCCTTGTAATTTCATCAGATTGTGAGCTCCTTGGGAGCAGAGACCGTATTGTTGATTTTTTTTTCTAGTTACGCCACAGCTCCCTGCGTGTGCTGGCACATAGAATCCCATTAAATAACTATTTATTTGGCTTATTAAGGTTTCTCCTCTAAACCGTCATATGAAAGCAAACATCAAGGAAGGGTGATGTTTTACAAATAAGAATTCATCTCTTTTGGTGGCATTTCAAGTAATGGCTGGGGTTTTACTGAGCTTCAAATCTTAAAGTGTAACCACCACCTAGTAGGCAATTCCTGGAATGAATCTTTTTTTGAGGATTAATTAACCTCAAAGTCTAGAAGAAAGGACATTTCTTCTGATGAGAAATTCAAGTGGCATCAAAGTACCCTTTCTTAGTTTTAGAGTTACTGTGTTAGAGAAAGAACACAGGCAATATGGATAACTTTACATTCTTTGCAGTCAGCGTAACTATGTATGTCCATCTTACCATTAACCATGAAGCCCAAAGATGTGATAGTATTGATGGTCTTCACTTAATGCTTTCTATTTGGAGTCTTTCTTTCCCATTTCCTAAAGGTAAGATATCGTTAAAGAAGCCTCATTAATTCTCATTTCAAGAAATTGAGTGTATGCTCATACTTAGCATATATAGAAATTACATCCATTTGCATAGATTCTTTTTTGAGTGAATTCTAACCACCAAGAAATGTCTTACCTAACAACCTAGCATTACCTTCTCATTCCTCTTAGGTCAGTTCACTCACCTTTTCCCTCTGTCATTATTCTTTCCTCCCTAGCTAACATAGTAAAAGTATCCACAATTTTAAAAAGAGAAGCCAACCATATTCAAATTATCTTCTTTTTTAATGACAGAAATTTTGACATTTATATAAATGGTAATTTTGGAATATGAGAGACACCCTATAAATCTGGCAGTTGGCCTAATGAAACTTGATTTATTTTGATTAGATAATGTGCCTCCTCAAACATTCAACACTGAAGATTTCCAAAATTTTTTTCTCATCAGAGACTACCTCTCTTTGAAATTTTTACTTTTCAACCTAATGGAGAATTCTTTAAATTCTGTGATTAGTGTCATCAATAAGATAGTAGAGAGATGTCTGCAGATTTTCATCTCTTTAGTACATTTTTTTCTTGCCTATTAGATAAATAATTTCTGGAAGTTTCTGGCCTAACTCATGTACTAAAATTCAGTTATGTAATTTAAAAAAGCATGTTTGTAAACTTTATTTTAATTACTATTGTCTGAAACTAAAGTTTAGCATAAATGAGATAAAAAATGACTTTTTAAAGGCATAATTTTTACTACCTTGTATGAATGTAATATTGGCAGCAGTCATTGTGTAGCCCTGGACGGGGAATCAGGAGACCTGGTTTCTAATCCCTCACTAACAAGCTGTGTGATCTTCGGTAAGTCATTTAACTCTATGTCCTTGGCTTTGATTTTTATAAATGAAGATCAATGATATCTTCTATGATCATGTCAGGATTTTAAAATATATATAAAAATACACTACTGTACACAGAGTTTTTTTATAGCTTAACTGTGCAGTCATAGGTATTTTTATAGTATGACGTTCTTAATTGTCTCACCATTGTCATAGGAATCGCCTACTGATGTGATAAATAACTCTTTCCAGCATGGTATTGTTTTGTAAATAATCATCCAGTATGTATGAAACTGCTTTTGAGTACTAATAAAATCTTCTTTCACTTTATTGTTCCTACTGTCCACATTTGCTTTAGTGTATCTGCTGAAGGCATCTTTGTCATTTGTTTTTCTATTTTTTCATTATTTCTCCCAATTCAGATTTATTAAAAAACCTTACCTTTCATTACAGTGTAAAGCACGTGTACTCTTCGCTTATACAAATTTAACTATGTGCTTAAAAAATACTTCTTTGTAGTACTTGGCTTCAAAATATAGCTAGCTGCCTAGCTTATCTGGTACTAAGTAAAAATTAAAAAACTAATCTTTTTAAAGCATGGCAGAGAAATTGGGTGGGAATTTTGAAGCAGTATGGTATTCAAAAAAACATACTTTAAAGAGTACTATATTTTTTCAAAGGGTTATTTTGACCACACACAATTTTCTTCTTTGCTGTTTTTGATATAAGCCTTCTGTAAGACACATCCCAACTGTAATTTCAAATAGCGGAATATTTGGTCTGTTGACTGGGATTTGTTAAGTTGCTATTACAGTACTGAATATAACTTGTAGCAGTTACTGTGATAAGGTTAGACTTCTGCCTACGCTATCATTTCTGGTGTATAATCTTAACAACCATTGTCCTGATTTTGTATGAGTTGTTACCATTGTAGAAGTAGCCACATTACCCTATAAACATCTAGAATTTGTACAATTGAATCAGTGGTCATCCCTTCCTCTCTACCCCCCAAAGAAAAGTAATCTTGGGAAACTATAAACTTGGTTCAGTAATACTGCCATTGCTCAAAAAACAGAATTATTTTCGAAATTACCTTCAGGGTTTGCAGCACATTTAAAAAATATCTTTAATGGTAGTTAATCTTCATCTTTCGAAATTGGATTTAATTTCTGGAAACTGCTCACAGTCTCTTTTAACTGAAACAAGTAAATAAAGTGGGTATTTAAACCACTTGGATAAAATATGAAGTGTGATTATTTTTATATATTTGCATATAGTTTCGATACTATAGTTTATAGAAAATCTCCAGGAATATTCTGTTCCATGGTCAAAATATTAGAATAATCAGCCTCATAAGGTGATTTCTTTGAAGTAGAAGCACTCGTAAGCTCTTAAAGCTCTTATACTCATATTATGAGGTTAGTCTCATTACATACACTGTGATCATCTTTCTGGTCTCCTTAGCAACCACAGAAGTACATATGTGCTACTGTATTACTCTTTTTCTAGTTTTCTTGTCTTTTGGTGTTCCTTTACTACATACTTGTGATCATTTTCATGGAGTTCATCTTTTTCTGAATCAAAATTTACAGCATTTGTTTTTCTTTCCCAATACTATGTTCTCCTTCTCCATGAAACTTTTTTACTTTTTTACCTGACTACATTTTGGATTGTTAGTAAGTTTTCTGTTGGATTATATTTTATCTTAACCACTCAAACTTTGAGTCGTTTTAAGTCATTGCCATTTTACTAAAAAGTATATAGAGGCTGCAATCTTAGTGGATAGGTTATCTCTTAGTTTTGCACTGGTATCTTTTTTATGTCAATTACTACTTTATAATTTTCTTCATATTAATTGATTCCTTGTGTTATAATTCATGTCATTTCTCTATTCAGAATCCTTCTCTGCTTACAAAATAAATTGTTCTGGTAATCCCACCCTATTTTTCTATACTCATGTCTTTTTTACAGCATAAAGCCTTTTTTTCACCTTTTTGGTCACACTTATTTACTTAACATACCATGTTCTTTCTCAGTGCCAAAGTTTTTTTTTGCCTTACCACTTTTATATGCCTGAAATCTCTTTTCCTCCTTCCTTCCTTCTTATTCATATATAACCAGTCCTTCAGAAGCCTGTTAGCTCATATCCAATAAAATCTTCAGTGAAGCACTTGCCGTTCTTTTCTTTTTGCATCTTTACACTTTCATCAGTTATTTTTGTCACTTGTTTGATACTAAATGAATACCTTGGATTTTCTTAATTTTTATATGTTTATATGTTTTAGTTTTACACACAGATATTAATCTTCTAAAGAACAGGACCGTGATTTTTCTGTGTATCTCTTTCAGCACATTATAGCATAATGCAGATGTTTTTATAGATGTTCAATACATTATTTGTTGAATAACTGTTCTGCCATCTTCACTCAGATATTTCATATGATGTTACCTCTGTGAACCATTTTATAATACCAAATAAATATAGTTTGTACCATAAATGCATTCTTTGTTGTAAACTGGTTATCATTATCACATTCCTAATAACTTTATTTTGTAGAAGCTTAAGTGAAAATGATACATGTTAGAAGACATGAAACAAGGAAAAATTCTAAAACTCAAGAGCGTGAGCAGAAATCTCGAGTCGATTGGAGGCGGACTAAAAGAAGTAGTATTTCACAATTATTGGATAGTGATGAAGACCTCGATAGTGATGAAGACCTTGATAGTGATGAAGAAAGTGTTGACAGTAATGAAAGTGCTGACAGTGATGAAGAGCTTTCTGGTAACAAGGGGCTTGATAGTAATAAAAAGCCAGAAAATGAAAGAGAGCTTAAATTAATTAAAGTTGAAAGTGAAGGAAACAACTGTGAGCATCTTATTAACACTGGCAATAGTTCAACACATGAAGAAGAAAAGGACAAAATCAAACATAGTAGCATTGATTTACCAGATCATGAGAAGCATTCAAGTCAAGAGGCTAATGATCTCAACAAACAGTCTGGACAAATAATAGAGGAGGATTTAGAAGAAGAACACATTAAGCGAGGGAAGAGAAAAAGGCTCTCCTCTGTGATGTATGACAGTGATGAGAGTGATGACAGTGATATCTTAGTTAGAAAAGTAGGTGTTAAACGTCCACGTAGAGTGGTTGAAGATGAATGTTCTTCAGCAGAGATGGAGCAAAAACAACCTGAAAAAACTTCAGCTGCAAGAAAACGAGAAAAATTCCAGAAACTGCAAGAACTCTCAAAACAAAGATCTCGTCAGAGACGCAATAGTAGTAGAGATTTTGAGGTGTGTTATATTTTTTTGGTTTTGTTGCCATTTTTAAATTTTTACTTAAACTATTTAATTTTTATAAAAATTAAAGTGCTGAGTCTGTTCTATTTCTCAGTAATTCTAGAATTTATTTTTTAATGAAGTATCCATGAACATGTTTGATTGCAGTATTGTATCTAATATTTTATCATGATCCTCAGTTAATCACTCTTTTTTAAAATTGAAAGACTGTTTTGTATGGTCTTTCCTGTTTTTATCATCTACTTTTAGTGTCCATTTTAAACATTTTGCATCACTTACCAAGGTATATTATCTTCCTAATTCAGTTTTCAACATGTAACATGACAAGATTTTTTTAACCTTAAAATATGGAATTTTATGGATTATTTTTTGTTTTCAGATTTAATCTTTTAATTTCACATCCATACTGACAATTTTAAAAGTACAATTTACTGAAGGAATATTTTTTACTTTAATTAGGACTCTGAAAAGGAATCCTGCACAAGTAGTAGTGATGGAAATGATGATGAAGAGGAGGAGGATGATTATGAATCTGATGAAGATGGAGATGATTATATTATTGATGACTTTGTAGTGCAAGATGAGGAGGGCGATGAAGAGAATAAAAGCCAGCGAGACAAAAATTTGACTACATCACAACTGAAATTAGTGAAACAGAATTCTCTTTGTAAGTTAAATATCAAAAAAATGTTTATGACTGTTCTAATCATGATATTATTATCAAATATCAAATCAGCCTTTTACTATCATATTCTAAAGCAGAATCGTAAATTGATTAGGAACTGTGGCTTCATTTTCAGTTAACTTTAATTTGTCAGTCTGATAATAGTTTATTCTGGTGGTTTCAGGAACCCTTTATACTCTTAAAAATGATTGAAGATCCCAAAGAGCTTTTGTTTCTGTGGGTTATTATAGTTAGCAACATTTACTTTTGTAGAAATACAAAACAGATAAATTTAAAATATATCTATTAATTGACTTAACATTAATAAACTCATTACACGTTAACAAATAACATTTTTATGAAAAATGACTATATTTTCTCCCAAAAGAATGAGAGGAATGCGCTTTTACATTTTAATAAATATCTTTAATGACTAGATTAATAGAAGGCAGCTAGGTTCTTGTCTGCTTTTGCATTTAGTCTATTGTGATGTTTTTGTCAAAATAGATGAAAACAATTTTATTTCAAACAGGTAGCTGGGAAAGGGAAGAGTGTTTTCAGTAAAATTGCGATATTCTCATTTAACAACACAAAAATTCGATGAGTGATAATTTCTTAAAGGTTGGTTTCAATATGAAATCTGAAACAATGTGAATGAAATTTTAGTACTTACTTACATTACAATCCATTGGTCTGTCTTGCACTTTGGATCTTTTGCCTGTGCACCATTTTGTAACATCATGCATGGTTGTTAGGAGAATATTAGTTAATTGGGTTACACAGATTTTCCAAATATTCACACATTTCATTATAAAATGTCTTTTAAATGACATTTCTTAATATCACCACCCATCTCATCAGAAATTTTTTTAGGTTGTGGACACTATCAAGCTCATAGTAGCATATGGTTTTTCAAAATTCTAATATCTACTTAAAAATCTGTTTTTATCTTTGGCAACAAAAACTTTGAATTCTTGAGAAACCGTTTTTTGTTCTTTTTTGAGAAAATATTTGACAAATGCCAGATAACCATGGTTTGTCCTTTCAAGTAAACATGGTATTTCATGACAATTGAGGTTTTTTTTTTAACTCCCAACTCAGTTTTTCTTCAGATCAATCATATTTTAGGATGAAGCATACATCCTATTTCATCCTATTGACTGCTGAAAAGATGGATACTCAAGACTCAAGATTTAATAAAATTAATAATTTTTATTACTTCATCAAGGACATTCTTAAGTGGAAGCTTTTTTACTGAGTGTATAGCAGTGTTAACGATAATAATTACTAGTAGTTTGGTGCTACTACCATGATTCATGCTAGGGGGACAGCTACCTTACCCATAATTACTTTTGCAATATCATTAAAAAATCTCAACAGTGTGAAAACAGCAAATAATTATCTTAGTGTTACTTCTTTGGCCTCACAGATCTCCTTAAATGGATTTGGGGTCCTACAGGGGTCTACAGACCACTGGTTTGTAAAACCACTGGTTTTTATCAGGACTTTTGAAGCATCACTGAGTGAAACCTATCAGAGATAGGAAATTAAAATCTTTTATATTTTCATATAGTTAATGAAAATATAATAGGACCCTAAAAATTTAGGGTATCCTTATATATTATTATTCTGATCCCTATAATTGTACATAAATTCACAATTGTATTTATGATGTTTCACAACTGGTAGAAACAGGCTGTTGGATGTATACTTTTTTCCCTTAAGGAATGCATTCTTTCCCAATTTTTTTAAAAAGAACATAGTTACTGAAATTAAGTATAACATGGTTCAATTTAGTTCTCATGATTTATAATAAAATAGTGGATTGAGATATTAATTAAATTTCAAGAAATTTTTCAGTTATAGAGATGCCAGTGATGGTCATCTATGTATTGAAAGTTAAGGACTATTTTCCTTAGATCAATAGGCATTGGTTCACATGCCACCTAGATATTTGAGTCTCAGGGAAACTCAGGAAGTATCCCATCATTCTGGATTATAGTATCTAGAATGTGATAGAACATTTGGTGGGAGATACCCACTTATACCCGTGCCTGCTAATTAATGAAAATAATGAAAGTCCTACATGTGGGGACAATTTTAACTTCCTTCTCTATTCTACCCTTCTCAGCTTACTTTTGCTTTTTTAAGGACTGTTTTAGATGTACTGAAAAGTTGAGTGGAAAGTACACAGAGTTCCTATATAACCCCTCTCACACAAAATATCCCTGTAATTAACATCTTGTATTGGTTGGTACTTCCGGTATTGATACATTATTATTATCTGTAGCCATAGTTTATCTCAGGGCTCACTCTTTGTGTTGTATAGCATATGGATTTTTAAAAATATTTTTTAATATTTCCTAAAATTTCTTGTTCAGATATAATTGACATAAAAGATTATGTTACTTTCAGGTGTACAGCATAATGATTTGACATTTATATACCTTACAAAGTGATCACCACAATAGGTCTAGTACCCATCTGGCACTATACATATTTATTACAATGTTGTTGACTATATTCTCTATGCTATGCTTTACATCTCTGCAACTATTTTTTTATTTGGAAATTTGTACTTCTTAATCCTCCTTTTTCAACCATCCTCACTTACATCTGGCAACCATTAGTTTTCTATATCTATGAGTCTGTTTCTGTTTTGTTTGTTCATTTATTTTGTTTTTTGGATTCTACATATAAGTGAAATCATACATATTTGTTCTTCTGTGTTTGACTTACTACACTTAACATAATACTCTCTGAGTCCATCCATGTCGCAAATGGAAAGATTTCATTGTTTTTTGTGACTGAGTACATTTTATAGATTTTGACAAATGTGTAATAACACTACAGGTATCCACCATTATAATATCATACAGAATAGTTTCACTGTTCTAAAAATCCCCTGTGCTCTACCTATCCATTCCACCCTCCCCTGAACTCCTGACAACCACTGATCTTTTTAATGTCTCCATAGTTTACCTTTTCCAGAATGTTTTATAGTTAGAATCACACAGCATGTAGCCTTTCATATTGGCTTCTTTCACTTAATAATATGCATTTAAGTTTCCTCTATGTCAATATAGCATGATAGTTCATTTACTTTTATCACAATAATATTCCATTGTATGGATGTACCACAGTTTGTTTATCCATTCACCCTTTGAAGGGCATGTTGTTTATTTTCAAGTTTTGGCAATTATGAATAAAGCTGCTATAAACATTTGTGTGCAGATTTTTCTGTGGACATGTTTTCAACTCATTTAAGTAAATACCAAGGAGTTCTGTGCTTGCTTTTACTACTGAGTATCTCTACCTCAGAGACAGATGTAACTCGTTTTTTTTTATGTAATACATTTTATCTTGTGTGTTCTTACTTGTAACTTTTATCATTACAAGCTGTCTTTCTTTAACTTGTAACCATATTCGTGCCTTTTCTCCCTTGAGTTGGCACATTCCATTAACCACTGTTCTAAATGTTATCTTTTCGTTCAAGTTTCCAAGTGTACTCAGGCTCTTGTACCCATCAATCCAGTGAAATTGCTCTCACTAAAGTAATTGATAACATTCTAGTTTCCAAAATGCTCTTCATTTCTTCTATTAATCTGTTATTGCTATGTGCTTTGCCACCAGCTATTTACCATTCTCTTTTTAGCTTCTGTAGTACGTCTTGCCTTTCCTTTTATAATATTGCTTTTCTCTCTTTTCCATTTGTCATGTAAATATTGATTTTTCTAAAGGTTTCACCCTCAAACTACATTTTGCTTGTGCTTTAGGCAGTCTCTTCCCTATAACTTCAGCCCAGTCTATGGGCAGGAATCCTTTAACTTTATTTCCAGAACAGATTTATCCAAAATCTATGGTCCAGTTTTTCATCATCATGTTAAACATTTTCATTACGATGTCTTTCAGACACTTCATACTAAATATGTGCAAAACTAAATATTGAGAGGTTTCATAAATTAGTTTGGGGGTGGTTGTAAAACGTTGTTTTTGTTCATTTGTTTGTTTGTTTTGGTTGTGGTGTTGGTTACACAACTTTATGCATTGATTATAGAACTGTACACCAAAAAGTGAATTTTATGGTATGTAAAAAAGTAAAGCTCAATAAAGAAAGCCAGTGGACATCCCCGCCCAAAAACTAACCTAAATGGTTAATCAACTTCACTTCTTTTTGTATTCCTAATGTCTATTAAAGTTGGTGACACATTATGGGAACTTTTGTTAGTTGGATGAGTAGATGATTAAGATAAGCATGTTGGCTGAAGCTTTCTGGATCTTATAGTTCAAGATAGCGAAACGTTGGATGTGATCAGATTTGTTAAACCAACAGACGGGAACAGCCCACATACTATAGGGATAATTTATGACTTGGTTCATGTTTTTAATACCAATGTTTATGCCTTTTATAAGTAAGATTCTAGGCAGTTTTTGCTTTGCCAAGAGATTCTGTTCTAAAGGTTGCTATAAATTCTTACTTTTGAAAGTCAAAATATATTTTCTCATTAAAACAATAACCTATATGATGAATAATGAACACCACTCTATGGCCTGGGTTAGGTTGTAATTAGGCTAATACTCCCAGATTTATTCTCCCCCCAACTCTATAAGAACACTGACAAATACATTCAACATATGATCAAAATTCAAGAGAAACATTATCTAACCCCAAATTTTATACCCAATGAAGAATCACAATCAGTAGTATGTGCAATTTTACCTTTTTGAAGAGAACATTTCTATACGTTGGAAGAAATTTTGTCATTTCCTCACTACCTGCTATTTGGCCCTGAGAGATGCATCAGTAACACTTCAAAGTAGAATAGTTTCCCTTTCAGCTACATAGTTGCAGCATTTGAAGCATAGTCCTTTTCCCTTCTCATCAGTCTCTGTTAGTATTTCTCTATTCTGAGACTGCGACTTCCAGAAAAAGGTAAAATAGAAAGTAGACGGATAGACTGGCAGTGGTCCATTGTATTCCAAATCTACAGTGTTCACTCACTAATATTATACACAGGTTGATAGGAATAGCCTTCAGATTTATGGATACTGAAGGTTATTTTCCCAGTATTCTATCATATGCTCAAAGTGACAAAGAACCAAGTAGTAGATACAAAAGTACATCTCTAGTGCCTTGCTAGATAAATACTTGCTAAAATACTGGAAATTAGACTGAGAGAAAATTAACTTTCCACCTAGCACTTGGGGAGAATCGTTCTATCAACATAGCACAGAGCATGCCTAAGAACAATCTCGTAACAATTTATGTTAAATGTTAAATCCTAGAACTTTTCCTGTTGTTCTAGGATAAGTAAAAAGTATCAGTGAAATGTTTTGGCACAAAACAAAAGTAACATTGCCCTGAAGAGCTAGAGGAAGAAAATGCCTGTGAAAAAAATGTTTTATTAAAGGAAACAAAAGAAAATTGTATAAAGCGTTTGCAATCTGTGGGAAAGCAATAGGAAATTATAAGAAGAGAACAATTTGAGGTGAAAGAGCTAAATAAGATACGGATAAAGTGCCAGAAAATTTAAAATGTAAAGTCAAAATCTATGTCGTAAGCTCTAAAGAGCAGAATTAACAGTACAGAAAGTCTCATCAGTCATATGTAGGTTAAACTCAAGAAGTTCTAGGATGGAGAAGAAAAAGTTCTGAGGGAGAAGATAACACATGAAGGAATAGAAATGACCCTATTTCACAAATTACTGGTTGTGGGGTGAAATAGAAAAGGAAACAAATGGAAACAGCATGTTTCTGGAAGGTAATAAATAGTATAAGAAGTTATTTCTTCTGAAATTGTTTGATTTAACTTTACAAAACAATCCTAAAGTTCACTATGAAGATAAATAAAATTTGAAAACAGAGTCAAAAGGACTTGCCCCATCAGATATAAGAAGTTATCACAAAATTGCAATAAGTAAAGCATTATAGTACAGACATGAGAATGACAGCCTCATCAGTGGGTAGAGTAGACAGTGCTGAAACAAAATCTTAGCATATTTAGGAAACTAATGTATGATAAAGGATGGAAAATCAATAGAATGACTATATTATCCAATGATTGGATGTGGGGAAATTGATTAATTACTTTGGAAAAATCAAGTTATAAACACAAATATTGTCGGTTTTCTCCTGTGCCCTTCTGCAATATTTTTATAATCATGGAGGAAAGTTATAAACAATATTCCTAGAATATTCTACAGAAGCCCATCTAATATAGGAGTTAAAGCACTGAAAAAAGTTCTGGAGGAGGCCCGAGCTCTAATCTGATTTCTGCCTCTATCTAGTTGTGTGACCTTGGGTAAGTTATTTCATTATTGTGTCATTTTTCTTAATTTTAAGATGAGAGATTCGAATTTTATTTTCTCCAATTTTCCATCTAATTCTAAAATTTCATGTTCTGAAGTATCATAGTATCAAATCCAACCACCATGCATAATAACATCGACTTAGGGGATAGTAGCATGAAATTTGAGTCGGATTGCCTGGGTTCCAACCTCGGTTCCAACACTTAACTATCTGTGTGATCTGAGGGAAGTTTTTCATCCTGTCTGTATCTGTTTTCTCAACTAAAAGTAAACCAAGGGTCATGATAGTACCTGGCAGGCTTGTGAAAAATAAAGTAGTGCATCTAAGTGTATAAAATTATGCCAGGCATATACTCGTTCAATTTTTTTTCCAATTTGAGCTACCAGGAACACAATTCCACCACCACCCACCTATCCACTCAAGCACAATGAAATCAAGGCCTTCTTCCTGGCATTTTTCAAGACGATTCTGATACACATTGGTAGGAGAGGGATTCCGTGATTAGGGGGAATAAAACCTCTCCAGATGATTCTGATCTTTTGCCCTTTCCTTTTACTGTTAATCCTAAAGACACTATTATCAGGGTCTGAAATAGAACAACAGTTCTCAAAACTCTATAGCAGGTGAGTAATGTTGCATGTTAACACATTTAAGATTGATAAAAAATTCAGTGAGATAAAAAATTCTATTGCATTTTATTTGATAGTTAAACTTAAGTGCACAGGGGATGAATTTGATTTTTTTTCTCAATATATCTATTAATATCCTTGGAACAGTTTTCCCTTAATACAGTGCTAGATAAAGTTTAAGTTCATTTTAACACTCAAAATTAAATTATATACTAGTCCTATAATATATCGAGAGGTAAATGAAAGTAATCAAAGTTGAATCATATTGAAGTATTATTTCATTTTCTAATTATGTTCTGATTTTTAAAAATATATTCATAAGTGGCTGTGAGCAATTCTTTTGTAATTTTCAATTGATCATGGTCCCTCTACCATGTGAATTATCTACTCCTGTCATTTAGTTTTATTACTGCTTTATTTTGGTCACTTTACTACTTCAATAAAGTTTTGTTTTTGTTTTTTGTTTTTTAACAAAAGAACATATACTAAAATTTCCCTTAAAGTCTAAAAAAAAGAGTTATACAGCCCTTTCAGTAACTAAAAGAAAGGCTAAAAGGTGTCTCCATGTTAAATCCCATCTTTTTTTTTTTTTTCAATTGAAAGCAAAGTCAAAATTCACTCATGAATGCTAATAATAGGTCTTATTTTGCTGTAATCCTTTACCAAGCATTTTCCACTTTTCCTGAAATACTCAAGCTGCCTTTAATATGTCTTCACAGGTGCCCAAAGGAGGGCAAATAGTCTATGATTACCATTTGGATCAAGCAAGGGGTCATGTTTGATAGAAAACATTTCCACAGGCATAGTAAACCTTGACCCAAGAGCAATGGTAAATAGTAAGGACCTTCTCTCTTATCATTGCCTGTCTTGTCAAACGTGAGTCCGTGGACCAAATTGAATTAGTGGGGAAGCAGGCTTATATATTTTATATGAGAAAGAGTAGACATAACTTGTTTAAACTAATGCTGAAAATCTTAAATCTGGGGCAGCAGAAAGGGAAATGGAGTTTTTATAGCCACTGGGGTTTTGGCTAGGGAGGCAATTTTAGGGATAATTTTGTATATAACATGATTTAGAGAAAGGGAGTAAGACAGGAGTTTCATGTACATATTGAATAATGCACCTATATAGTTTTTCTTTTTTGTTCTCTGCAATCATCAAGTTGATAATTAGGTGTACAAGGAACAATTTTGATTTTTTTTTCACAACATATCTCTTAATTTTCCCTTAATAGGTTTGGAAAGTGAAGATTATTTGAAATAACAACTAGAAACTTTGGATTAGAAGCCAGTAAATCTGGAAAATGGAGATTTGTTTAATGACTAGAGAAGTCACTGAGGCAGCTATAAACTTAGGATAATTATGTGATTTCTTATATTTATAGTATTAATTTCTTAGCCTCGGAGAAAGGAACCTGTTATATTCAGGGAATTGTTTTGTCTACTAGATCTTGATATTTATTTAAAATTAATTTCAGATTCTTTTAGTGACCACTATACTCACTTTGAAAGAGTTGTGAAGGCCCTTCTGATCAATGCTTTAGATGAATCATTTCTGGAAACATTGTATGGTAAGTTAATAATATGAATGAAACAACTTTTTTTTTCTTTTTCCAATTTTTAAACAACCCACTGTTTTATATATTAAACAAAACCAAGGAGACCTATTCTTCAGGCCCTCCAGTTGTTCTCTCTAGGGTCAGCTGCACCCAAAGCCCATTCACATCAAAAAGTTACTAGTTTTTATTATTTGTGAAGTGTGGAAAGTACAAAAGAAATATGTGATGGTTCCCTACCTTTAGAGAGTTTACAGTGAATTCGAAGATATAGGACATATATACTCACAAAACAGCAGGGCAGTTCAACACTCATGTGTTGTCCCAGTCTCTAAGCTCTTCGAATTTCATGAAAATTATGCCCTGTTTTATGCTTTCATGCCTTTGCTCATGCTGTTTCTCCTTAGAATATAAACTCTTTCTACCCTACATTTTCCAGGTGAGTGTAAAATCATTTCCACCATAAAGGCTATCTATGACTCATTTAAGTAATATTTGTTACCCCCTCATTTGTGTTGTCATTATCCTGAGTGTGATTGTATTGATGTGTATGCACTTTTCATACTTAATTTTGAAAATGTATTTTTACCTTTCTCCCTTGCAAGAGTCTGAGAAGAAACATACCATATATATACACTTATCCCTTGCATCTAACACTGAGGTTGGCACTTAATAAAGACTATAAATATGTCTGTTGAATATCTACCTAAATGCCAAAATAACATTCTGTTCAGTTTATCAAACAAATGTTTATTGAGTGCCAACTAAGGGCCAGGAATTATTTGAGAGCTGGAGATATGGCAATGACTATGACATACAAGATTCCTGCCCTCATGTTGCTTAAAGTCTAATGAGAAAGGCAGACAATGAGCAAACAAATATATAACAATTTTAACCAGTGATTAATTCTTGAGAAAAAAAGTAGGATAAAGAGATCGGGAATGATAAAGGAAAATCTTATGTTAATTAAATTGGTCAAAAACAGTCTCTCAAGAGGTGAATTTTGAACAGAAACCTAAAATGAAGGAGGAAATAATGCATGGATCTTGCAGAGAGCACAGCAAGTGGAAAGACCCTTAGAAAAGAGTCAGTTTGATGTGTTCAAGGAACAATTGACCATGTGGTTCTTTCTTTTCCCTCATTCCTTAATGGGATTCTTCTTCCACTTCATTAATTTTTTTCAACGTAAAATGCTTCTAACCAATCAATCAAGTATCTTCCTAAAACTATGGAAAGAAATCGTTAAGTATTCAGCTACTGAAATATTCCATGAGAGCAAAGTGATTGGTTTTTGTTGTTATTGCCCTGAACAGATGGCACCAGGCAAAAATCATATGCACAAGATATGTTGACATCTCTTGATTATTTGGATAACCGCTTTATACAGCCTCGTCTAGAGAGCTTATCCTCCAGAAGTCGTTGGAGAGAGCAATATAAGGTATACAGTTATATCTGTTTTTTAATCTCTGGTGGGCAGGGCGTGGTAATCTCTCAGGATTTCAGTATTCAGTCAGACTGAATAATCTAAATTATTAGCATTTTTCTTTGTTGTTTCTCACCTCAAGGTAATTACTGTTTTAATCATTAACACTTATATCTATCCAATAATTAAGTAGTTCTAAATGATGAATAACTTTAGAACATCTGTAAGACTTAGCCCTTCTATTACAATGAGGAGATTGTCTCACAAGATGTTCATTGTTGTATCAAAAAAGAAGTCCTTAAAAAAGTGTGAGAAACAGTGAGTTTAACTTAACTGGAGGACTTTTCAAAGAGCATTAATATGTGAATTTATACTGTAAATCTTCAAGAGGGTGGTACAGAATGTAATACTTTCCAAATTTGTGTTTTACTATATGGCTCCTTTTCATGAACTACTTCTAACCCCCTAGGATAATTGATTTCCATAACATAATTTGGGAAATACCGGCCTAGGTTGTCTTTGATGTCTTTCTCCAACTTCAGGTTTTGTAATTCTACCAATTTGGGTAAAATATCTTTTCAATTTATAAGATTCATTGGATTTCATGTTATCCTCTAGATTTATATTTTACGATTTCTAATAGTGGAGAATGTACTATATAATTTTTAAGGTGTTTTTTTCCATCTCTGTTTCTAACATTCTATCTTCTAATGATCAGCAAGAGGAAAAATGGCAAGATAAGAGAAGTTCAAGTTTCCTACAGTACTTCTAGCGTTTAAATCATTAGCTGCTCTGCCTCATTTATATCAGGAAATTTGGCTTCACCCAAGGCCTTTTCAGCCCTTAAATTACCTAATGATAAATTAGCCACAGATGGTTTTGGTTTAAGAAGCAGTTATTGGATTACAAAAAGAATACTTCAATTGAGAGGATGGCTTGACATTAGGGCCACTATATATATCTTTTAACTTTGAGTTTTTAAACTTCTGTAAACTCCAGTTTCTTCTTCAAATACAGAAAATATTTACCTACTTGAAAAGGAAATATTTACTTACTTTGAAGGTAAAGTAGATAGTACAGCTTTTAGAACATGATATAAATATTTTTTTCTTTCATAGAAAGAAAAATGGCCTTATTCATTATTTAATTTTACCAAGTAATTTACATGCAAAGTAAAGTATTTTATTTGATCTTAAAAGTTAATCCCATGAGGAAAGCACTATTATTTCCTCCATTTTAGAGTCGAGGAAACTATGACTCAGAAAAAATGAGTAACAGAAGGTTACAGAGCTAGTAATTAGCCAGCCCAATATTTAAACCTAGAGACCTCAGGTTTCTAGGGTTTCTCTGACTCTAAAGCGCATACTACTTTGCTGTATTATGCTTTACCATCCTACGGTAGGTTATGCTGAATTTGGATAACCCAATGTTGAAACAATAACTGGAAGATACAACAGAATATTAGCTTACAAATTTAAAGACATAGATGATTTTGGTTAAGATAAGCTAGGTTTTGCTGCTAAAATTAAATAATATGACAAATAAACCAACAACAAAAATCTCAATAGCTTAACCCAACAGAGTTTATTTTTCACTTACATATGTCCAGTCTGAGTCAACGGGAGTGCTCTATTGTAGTCTCTCAGGGAACTAAGCTGATAGAGCTTCCAGTGCACTATGTGCTTTCATGAGTAACACAGAAGGAGGGAGTCCAGGGTGGTGGTTAATCACCTGTTCACTCTTAATGTCAGCTTGTAAGTGACACGTGTCATGAAGTGTCATGAAATATGAGAAATATTATGCAATACTGTTGTGAATTATACAATGTAAAAAAGAAGCTATCAGTATGTTGGATACTTAATTACTATCAGGTGATAGAGAATGTGAATGTGGATTAGTAACCCTGCTAATATGCTCATTGCATGTAGTTCAAATATTATGGTCAAACCTAATCTACACTACTAATTAGAACAGCAGTATCTAGCACAGGCATAGAGCACAAGCAAAAAATACTCAAGCACAAGTAATTTCACACTTAATAAAGCTTATTTATGAAAGCCAAATATTTTCTCAGTTTGCTTACTCGTTGCTAACACAGCTATTAGACTGTCCATATCAGTACTGGCCACTTAGCAATCCTAGTTTCAACTTGTTTATTTTCATAATATTTTAGTAAGTAACAATAGGAGGATTAAATTATTTCTGAAGAATTTGTGGAAAATATGATATAATTGAGACAATAGAGACTGATTGCGATCTTGTTTTTCTCGATTTTTGACTTAAATGAATTTATCTTTTTTTATATTCTAAATTTTTGCTGCTCATTCTTTCATATTTTTAACTACCCCATTAACATTAGAGATGAAAGGAAAAAATAAAATATGTGAAGAACACTACTTAGTAGTAACTCATAAGTGTGAGGGATATGAAACTAATTATTTTCCCAGACTGGTTTATTTTCATTTAATAGCCTAAATTATAAATTCATATTTTAATTTAAAAATATCTTGTCAAACACCTACTGTGTGTTTAGTATTAAAGTTAGAAATACTAGTGTTTTGCTCTTACATCTCATCTTATTATAATTCCTAATTTTTGTTATAATTTGGTTAAGTTCTTTTTATGTCTTATTTTTCTTGCTGTTCTAATCCTTTAAAGCTTCCTCACACTTTTTTTCAGGAGCGGGTAGCAAATTATTCTAATGTAAGTATTCATATGAAGAACCCTGAAGACTGTTCCTGCCAGGCTTGTGGATTGCATCGGCACTGTAAATATTCAGTGCATTTATCAGGAAAGTTGTACAACACCAGGACTATGGAAACAGATGATTTCATGTCACATGATAAACAGGTATTTTCTTTCCATCTCATTTTAGTTTTCAGTATTTAGAAATTGTCAATATATAAGCTTGCACAAATAACCCTAAGTTATTTTCACAGATGGAGAAAGCACTAGCAGAAGGGAAAAAAGTATAAGGAAAGGGTATAATTTTTAAATATGAAAAATATGTCTTATAAGCAGATTCACACCTAATTCAGTCAGATACTACAGTTCATGCATATTCTCTAAGTATACATCACTGAAATGGAGCGTGGGTGGTGGTGGGGTTAGAGGATGAGGATGAAAAAGTAAGTAACTGAGGCAGAGGGAAAGCAGAAGTCCCTTTTGAGCCCGAAGGAGAATTAGACCCACTGGGAAAATTTTATAGTAGATAATCTACCAAATTGACAACTGACAAGTGAATAATAATTGAAGATGCATACTTATCCTAATATGAGAATTAAAACCATGCTTCAATTTAGACTCTATCAGAAGTATGTCAGAATCTAGAGCAATTAGCACATACTTAAGGTGCTGTTAATTTTGAATGAATAAGCAGAACCGAAGAAAATATTTGAAATATTTGAAGTGTTCTTGATAAACAAGAGCAAAGCAATACAATGTAAATGAAAAGAAGTATAGATGAAAACTACTGTTTAATTTTTTAATCTATATAAAAGTATTACATTTATAAATGCAAAAATATTAATATTGAAAGCTTCCTCTGAAGAGTCTGTATATCATGAAGGGTGTGTGAGTTTTGGGGCCTAGTTAGAGACCCAAAATTGATTCTAAATGCTACCAGTCAATTATTAAGATAGAAATATACTATTTATCTGAATTCTGCTAGATTGGGTAGTACGATTCCTCAGTGTTATGTGAAGTAATTGACAGATCCTTCTGAACAATCTGGGTTGCGAGAATCACTTAGAAGTTTGTATAGGGATACTGAATTCAGAATTAGTCTTTAGTATTTTATTTGGCAAGTACTATAAAAACACATTTCTTCTCTAAACATGTCATATGAAAATTTCTCCATTTAAAAATTGATCTGACTTGATAAGACACCTAGAATCCTAATAAAAATAATTTAATAATTTAAGGGTCGTGTTCTGTTGTATAGATAAAAATTTTGCTGTACATTCACTGTCTTCACTGTGTACAGCTAATCCTGGAGAGGAGTGTAAATTAGAAAACCATTTCTATAGTTCTGATATCCTGTAAAGGAATAAAGAGTCTGTAGAAAATAGTTGATTCAAATATCTAAAAAATAAGAAATCTTGTGAAATAAAAGCAAGAAACATTAATACACCAGTCACACAATGGAAAAATATAAAAGTTAACAAACATACTGAAAAATGATTATTCTCCACTTAAAAGCATACAATTAAAACTAACCTTAAGATGCCAGTTGATAGCTCTGAAAGTAGCAAGGTATTTTTAAATAAAATGCAGTTCTGTCATGGTTTCATTGAAACTAGCAGTTTCATGGAAATAAGATTCCTAGAGAAAGATGTGATACATCTTCTTAGAATACTGGATAGCTATATAGAGCCAAAGGTAACAAAGTTACACATATTCAGTGCCTGTAAGTTTATCCTTGGCAAAGTAATTCAACAAAAGTAAATGACGTGATCACGAAATTCATTGAAACATTATTTATAATATAAAAAATGCAAGTAATCCAAATAAAATATTAGAGTACTATTTTAATAACTAAGTATACCATCATTTTGAGATAACATATAATACTACCACTAAAATAATATTTATGAAATAATGGTCGGTGGAAGTGAAATAATAAGCATTGTATATTCTATCCTTGCATCTATGTAAAAATGTGTATTTTATATGTATAGCTATATTCAAACATTAAACTAGTTATTGTATATATTAAGATTGTAAGATTGAAATTCTTTAATAATTTTTTTAGTAATTTTTCTCTTAAAAGGAAGAATCAGTTATTAAAATCTATTTTATATGCTGCTGAACTACAATGTTAGTGCACGTATGGAAAGGAAAGGCTATAAGCTCCCCTTAATACAGGTAGTACATCTTTCACTTATGTATCTCAAGTGCTTAGCCCAATACTTGAATCATAGCAGGTGCTCAGTTTTTGTTAACTGGGTTGTATAAATAAAAGAAGGTAAAGACATTTGGTGCTAAATATTTTAAAAATGAATAATGCATTTTTTAGATTCTACTATTTAAAAAAATCTGAAAACCAGAAAGTCTATATATTCATTACTATATTATTCACTTCACATGTCAGATTATGTTTATTTCTTGATTTAGGTGTTTATTGTTGGCAGAATTTGTGCTGAACGTACCAAAATTTATCATAAACTGAAACATTTTAAATTCAAATTGTACCAAGAATGTTGCTCCATGGCAAAGACGGGAGAAGTTGAGGATGAACAAGTTAAAGAAACAGTGGAAAGAATTTTCAATCAATTAAAAGAAAGTGGCTGGATTAAGGAGGTAAGGTGACTGATTATAAAAGAACCATCTCATTTAGAAGATTCTGAAGCCTAAGTATGATCAGCAAAAGGATACCAATGATTAGAAGGCAGTGAATCTCTCCTTCTCTCCCTGTCTTTATATTTTCTTTTCTTCCACCCATTCCTTTCATGCTTATCATTGTCCTACCCTGAATAGGTGATACGATGTTCTAAGCATTCATTCAACTCATCAGGTAAATTTTAATCAGCAGTAATACTGTCCTTTTGATCAGGATTTTCTGTCATTTCACTTTTATATATGTGGTATTCCTTACATATATATTAAGTCCCTTTATTTTCTTTGACAAAGTATAGGACTCACCTCTGCTTATCTGCTTCCTATTCTTTAGAACAGTTCTTGTGACCTGAGAGTGAAGAAGCACCTGGTGCCAATCTGAGGAAAGGATCTCGGCTGCCAGTTCTAATACCACCCACATCCTCTTCTTGAGGACATGGGACTTAGCAGTGAGCACTGTAACTGAAGATCAAGGGGAATGCAGAGGTTTCAGGCCACAGCACTGATTTTGATTCCCCCATATTCTGTTGATCACTAAATTTGATATCAGGGATTAAGTGGGGTTTTGAAGAGTGCACTGGATTCCTAAAGATCTGCTGGCAGCTCATAAGCTCTGGTCTGCTCACAGAGCTTTTAGAATTGTTTATAGTGCATGGAAAGAATGCTAATATGATTGCAGTCTTTTAAAACTTCTAGTTACATGAATGTATAAGAGAGAACATATATGTTCAGGCAACTCAGATCAATATTATATTTAATCTTAAAAAAAAAAGAAAGAAAAGCCTGACTTAAGATCCATTGCTTGGGTTATTCATATCATAGAGGAATTTGTAAAAGATAAAAATAGAAAAGAAGAGAGCTTAGAGAATAAACTTATGAGCAAAGGGAAAGAAAAAGAGAACAACACAACAGAAACTTCTTAGGATATATCATGATCTGCAGAGCTCTCCCGGTCTGGAGAATGACATCAAGATTGGTTTCTCTTTTGACAGTTATCTGCCCACCACAAACCACCACCCAGTGATCTTTTTGCCTGCCCCACACATCTTGACACTTAAGTCGTCTTTCATTTTCTTCCCTTTAGCTTTTTATCTTTTACTTTCCTTCTGCTGCTCTTACTACCAATGTTTCTCCTCCCTGTCCTCTGTGCTTTTCAATTTGCCTTAGGGAGGAGCCTTCATTTATCTAGTAAGTCCCATCTTTATTTTCCTAGATAACATTAAATTCTTAAGTGCTTTTATTGATGCATTTAAATGTTGCCAACTCTCTAGTGGGGTTAAAGACCTATTGGGACAGCACATTTTTAAAGAATTGTGTACTAAAGATAGAAAAGTAATTGTGCATGTATTATTATATGTATTGTTTATGGGAAGAACATTAACATTCTTGCAGAAAAAAACCGAAAGCATTTTCAAATCAAATCTTAGAGAAAGCTTAAAGGTTGCTGACAACAGAAGGGACCGGGAATAAGAAAAAATATTCTTGAGAAAAGAAAGCCAAGTGTCATATTCTGCTTAAAGAGTAACACTTAGCATTGGCATTGAAGGTATTTCAAGATCATACAAGTATAGGACAATGTTCACATTTTTTTTTTTTTACATAAAATACCAAAGAGCGTCATTTTCTTTTTGAGATCTCTCCTACTTTAATTTAAACTATTTGTCCATAGACTTACTAAAAAGATATCCTGGAAACTAAAGAAGTTTATAGCCAGTATAAACCCAGATTAAGTTTTCTGTGCTGTGATAAAATTTCAAAATTGATCAGGTGCTCTGACATTTCTCATCATCACTCTGCCTACCCCTTAGTATGTGTGTGTCTTTGAGTGATAACACTACGTATGTTCTGGCAGTGGTGTGTGCTTCTTCTTTGGCTGTAATCCCATGGCTGCATGTACTCTAAACCTTTAGAATGCCAGGCTCAGTGCAACTCGAACAGCTGTATATTCATGGGTCTTTCCACTCTTACCTCCCAATTACTATGTCAGCTCCTCCTTTTATCTTACACAAATTACTTGTTCTTGTCTCTCCTTCCTCAGCTTCTGTTTGATACCTTTTTTCTCCAAGCATTTTTCTTCCATTATTTCAGGATATCACAGCATTTCTTCCCTAAAACCTGCCAGCTAGACTATCTTCATTCTTCTTGTTCTTCTAACAATTGAACTAGGATGACTTGTTTTTAACTTAGTAATATTAAAGCAGTAGGAGCAACTCAGGTATAAAGAAAGAACAAATAATCAAAAAATTATAATAAAACTAAAATGGGTAATAAATATAATTGTAATATAAGTCTCATTAGAGCCAAAGAATATACCGTCACATGCCATTGGCAAAATTCTAACAAGTGATTTTTTTGTTAAGAAGAAAAGTGCACATGATGATGCAGTTTCCAGGGAAGTTGAACTTAGGAATTGTTGGGATGAGATTGTGAATTCATGAATACCAGAAAGTGAAGAAAGTATGTCAATAAAAGTATCAAGTTTCAGTTTTACAGTTGTATTTAAATTTTCAGTGACATATAAATATTTAAATTGTGATTGGCTATCCCACCCCTTTCAAAACTCTTCTCATTTGTTCTCTTCCCTTTTTTCCCCCCTTTTAAACTTTTTTTTCTCTTTTCTTTCACTCCATAAACTGATGTTTCTCAAAACATGGCTCTAAACTGCTTATGTCAGAATTACCTAGAAGTTTGTGAAAAATAATGTGTATTTCCTGGCCTCACTGTAGACCTTTCGAGTGAGAATCCTTGGGGGTATTAAACACCCAATGTTTAACAAATTAGGTGACTCGTAAGCAAATTAAAGATTGATGGCCACTGCTTAAAAAATTCATGTTGCACTAGGTTCTCTTCTCAGGCTCTAAGCCCATTCCCTTGGCATTCTCATTCCTTTTTTCAGGACTAACTGCTGCTTCTGAGTACAAGGCACCAAACTCCTTTTATGTTCTGACCTCTTTCTCACACTCTATTCCCACAATTCCAACTGTTTTCATTAGTAGGTCCATCTGGCATTCTAAGGGCTTGACATATTATGACCAAAACTGTGCAAATTTGTAGTAAAGAAGAATGATGGAGGCAAAATCTTTAGATGGAGAGAATGGCCAGGTAATACAAATTGCCTTCTGTCTGAGTTTCTTTCCCCTCATAAGTTTTTCTTTTTTCACACTAAAGCTGCACCCCACTCCCACCCTTTAAATTTCAGAAATAATATACTATAATGGTTAAAAACATGAATTTAAATATTTCCTAGTGGTAGAATTTGGGGGCAAGTTACTTCATTTCTCTAAGCCTAAGTTTTCTCTTCAGTATGATAGAAAATAATAATAATAATTGGGGTTTTGATTGTGGAGCTTAAATGAGTAACACATTTTTTTAAGCATTTAGTGTAGGACCTAGCAATTAGTAAGGTGATCAATGTTAGCTATTATTAGTAATAAAATCAAAGAGAGGTTTTCCTTAGTATAGCTGAGATAGAATGTAATTTTCCAAAATAAATTTAATAAGAAAAAAGGATATAAAGAAATAATATGAAAAGCATAAAAGCAGTCAAACTTTTAAGATATAGGTTTCTAATTCTAGAGTATATTTTATTTATACCTAATAGAACCTGTCTGAAAACTCGGTCAAGAGAATTTCTAAGTAGTCTATAAGTTATTTCCCTTCCTGTTCTTTAAAAATCTTCATTCTTTCCAGAGAAAGTGATCCAGTCAGAGATCTTTGGGGGTGTGGGGAAGGTTTCATGGCCATGTCTAGAAGGAAAATGCACTCCTCATATACCCTTCCATAGGTCCCTATCACCACAAAAGTCAGTCATCAATATCTTCTCTCGCCTCAGTAGAAGTAGAACCAGAGTTCATAAGTTGAATTAAGAAACCATTAGTCAGTTAATCTCCTCAACTGAGGTAAACACTTTGAACTCATCAACCTTGAAATCTCCAAATCAGCCTCTCTTATCTTGTCCCAACCTTAGTTTTACTCTCCATCTTCATTGCTGTCACTCAAATTTGGTCTCTCATTACCTAAATTATTACAGTAGACTCATAACTAGTTGCCAAACTTTTCTAGAATGGTGTTTTACTATTTTTCTTAAAGTACACCTTAGAGTATGTCAATCTCCAGCTTTAACACCTTAAACAGCTTTCTACTGCCTGTCACATTATAGCTAAAACCCTTAACCTAGCATTTCATTCTCTGACCCCAACTTCTTTAGTTCAGCCTTATCTTGCTCAATTCCCCTAAAAAACCTCGGATTGTAGTTAAATCTCATATTTTCTTGTCTTGTCACTGTTGTATGGACTGTTGTTGCCTACAGAAAACTCTACCCACCAAATCTTTGCCTACCAAATCTTTTTTCCCAGGACAGAGGCTTACATGCCTCTCTTTCCTGGTCACCTCAACTAACCATGACCCCTCTACTGAAGCCTCATAACAGTGTCTGTACTTCTTTATGGCATTTGTTATTGGTT